TTAGGAAAAATATTAAATTGTAATAATGGAAAAGCAAAACAGATATTCAAATGTTTAGACTGTCCAAGCAGAAAACACCCTGGCGAGACCTCCCAGACTAGCAAAAGGGAGTCCAGAGTGTATGTGCTGACTGATGATTGGAAGCAGGTGCCAGTGATGAGGAAGCCAACGATGCTGGGCCTGTGTGGATGGCATGACACACATATAGTGTTCAGCTATGTCTAATATATATGTCCAACTGCAATTATCCGTGATGGCTGGGGATACATTGCACTAGAGGTCAGTGAATTCCACGTTGCCTCTTTTTTGACCTGTAATGAACTGAGATATCCATCACTGTGGCTGCAGCATGCCCTCCCTACAACCCTCTCTAACACACATACTCACATACTTTCTGCCTCATTAAAACAGATGGTGCTATTCATGTGACCCGTGGACGCTCTGATGTCACAGTTGGTCTCCACCAACATGACAACTGTCCCTTGCATCCCCATTAATGATTACCCGTGGAGCCGAGCCAGTTCATTCAGTCAGCCTTTTTCTACATCCAATTTACACAGCCGTTACCAACAGGCGTAGCCAGGACTCCTGTGTAATTGACCTTGTTTCCTGCAGTATATAATGATAGATTGAAAGGGGATATTGACAACTGACTGTCTCACACTTGACCTCCCTTGGTACCATTATCAGGCATTGATTAGCGGTCTGATACTAAGGGTGGTTCCTCTAGATTACACTGCAGAGTTGTGGAATTTGGGTCAGGAAAGCACAAACCAAGATGAAATCCCCTTTAGAGCTCCTTAAATCTCCCAAACAAAACAGAGCACGTTTCAACATCTCAAGCCCTTTCTCACCCATCTCATTTCATATTCCCTGATAAATGACCAGAAATCTTTGGATCAGTGAGCAAAATAGACTCTGAAAAGCAAAGCTTACCAAATGTTATTTAGCTTGAGGTGCAATTCTTAGAAAAATCTTTAATTAGTATAGAATCTTCACATTGTGTAGAAGTTCTTTAAACATTAGGTTCTGAAGGTTATTCACATTCACACATCTCATCTACAAAAACAACACACACACACACACACACACACACACTTTCTAAGCCACTTATCCCTCTGGGTAGCCGGAGCCTATCCCAGACAGACATATACATTGACACACACACTCACACCCAGGGGCAATTTAGCATATCCAATCGGCCTAACTGCATGTCTTTGGACTGTGAGAGAAAACCAGAGTACCCGGAGGAAGGTTTCATCTATTGACAGGTTATTCAGGGAACCAAAAGCGGTTCTTCTATGGGACTGCTGAAAAGCAGGGATAGGGAACTCTGGTCCTGGAGAGCTGGATTTCTGCACAGTTTGTTGTTGTTCCTGCTCAAGCACACCTAAATTCAACTTATCAGCAAATTACCAGGTTTAGTTTTTGTGCTAGATCAGGAAAATCACCAAACTGTGCTGGACTTGTATTTCCCACCTTTGCTTTAAAGGATCATTTGTGCTTGCATGTGACACCTTTTTAAAAGTTTGATGATACAATACTTAAAAGTGTCATACAAGTGTATTTAAAAGTTTTAAAACTACCTTTTGTCTTAATTTGTCTTGTTTCATTAATGGAAGTCAAAAAACTAAAAATACCCTGGGGGAACATGATAATCTCAATAGCATCTCTTGAGACACACAAATCAAAAATTGTCTAGATGTATAAAAGACTAAAATCTCCACTGTTAATCATGTGCTGCTGAAATTATCATCTCAGGTGTGACTTTTTGCAAAATTAAGTCTTCTTTAATTCTTAACTGCTATTAAGAGAAATAAAAAGGCATAAAGGGGAATTCCACTGATTGTGTCTACATAATACACTCATTATGTGAATTAAATCATTCATAGGTGAAATTGTTGATTTCACAGAAACTTAGAGACTACTGAATAATTTACAGTGGTGGTGATAGTAACCAGGAGTCACAATATAGCCATTTTATTTATTTAACTTATTTTATCCAAATTGAGCCTACACTGGTCTTCTGAGCTTTTATATGCATTGTTGACAACAAAAATAGCAGTACAACTTAAAAAAAATCTTTGGGAACTATTTTGCCTTACAACACCCTGCCTGTAACTCTCCACTGCGAATGGATTTCAAATTACGTTTTGGACCAAATTTTGAAGATTGGTGAAAGTCCCTTCAAATTAATCTGATTCTGGTGATCAGCAGCATTTTTTTTCCTGTTAATCTTCTTAGTGCTGGTAAAATGAGGGAAAAGAGTCAAAGACAAAACAGCAGCTTTCTTTGCAACTACACTAACCAGAACTAGGATCCTGTCTGCATTGCATATATTCCTTGTTTGTTTATCTTGGGAAATGACCACACTTTAGGCTGGCAGTTCCACTAAACACAATAAGTGCAGACCTCTGTGTTTCAAATCATTGCATAATGAGCAAAATATATCTGAGAACAAGCCGTTACATAATTCAGCAGAGTAGAGTCGCATTTGTTGACACAAGCTAATCAGATTGCACAGGGGAATAGAATCAGCTCTGTCCTTTTTGCCGTCACCCACACAAACACAAGTCCATTAGTGCACTGCTTGAAGGAGCTGTTGAAAAATGCCAGTGCTAAAACACATGGTTCAGGCCAGTTCACCAACTTTCTATTTTCTCCCTGGCCCTGGCAATAGAGGCATGCTCCCTGGTATTGAATCTGTCACTGTGTGCTCCCTGCCTTGGAGTTTGCCTTTTGTGAGACTAATTAGCTTGTCTATTGCCTGCTAAATCATGATAGAGCACCCAGCGGCAGAGGGAAAAAAAGAAGAGAGAAAACAGAAAAAGAAAAAGACAAAACATAGGACACAGTGCCCGGGATTCAATCAAGCTCTATCACAGAAAGCAATCCAACCAAAATGCAGCAGTGGAGAGTGCATTCCTCCTGAATCTCATTTCTTTTCAATTTCTTCTGTATTGTTTATTGAGTTTATCCAGGCTGATAAGTTTTGATTGAATTCCAGTCCAAAAAATATATATTTCTATCCAAAATTTATGAACATCCAGAATTCCATATTCTCCTTATCTCTTTCCATGGCATACTAACAAACCACCCTTTCAACGAGCAGAGAGCAAAACAGCAGCGAAAAAGCGAGAGCATTTAACAAAGACTGACGTTTACACTCATGTGAACAGACAAATGCACTTGAACCTTGGGTAACAGGTTTTAAAATTGATTTTGCCTCTGTCTCTTACCTTTAGCACTCTCAGAACTTAAGCCGTGGCTTTGCACAGAGCACCATTAGGGAGGCAGAAATATGCAGGCTTATGCTTGAGACCTCCATCAAAAAAACTGTAGCCTCTATTTAAGCAGTGAAGTGTTTCGCTGTAAGGGAAACAGAGATTAACGTCCCGTAACACATCTTGGGGTGTTTAACTGAAATTGCATTTAAAAGAAGCTCTTTGACCTCTGACAGCTCATCGAATGGTGGTGGTGGTGCGAGTGGAGGGCGGAACATAGCAGCGCGTGGATGTTTTACGTTCCAAAGCCACTCAGCCAGATTGGATAGCATTCTTGGCAAAGGCCCCAAATATTTTGGGGAAGGAAAACAAATAAAAAATGAATGCACTGCAACATATTTCAAGCTTATGGATGCCTGTTGTTTTCCAAGGGATTGTAATGGCTTGTCCGTGACGCTAATGAAATTCATCTAATAGAAGTCTTGACATGTTACTTTGTTATGGAAATAATGGATTAATAAACCACATCCTGCAGTCAGGAGGATATTTTCAGCCTTTAAATATTGATCTGTAACTGTAAACTGAGAAGGCCCTGCCAATTAAATAGTTTATTGTCCCCTCCAGGAATTTGCATTGTTTCTTCATTTAATACAGTAACAAGACATACTGAAAATAGTAACAAGCCAGACAAGCTTAATATGGCAGGCAACTTCTGTTTATTCATTACGTCTTTTATTGCTGTAGGGTCGTCCATAGCCTACTTTTTCTAGGCATTGGCAGCCACTCAGCTTTGCTGCTGCTAAAGCTGCTGATTTGATGTGATGAATTATGAATTTATAGATAGTGCCATACCCAAACAGAATGGATGGCATCAAATATCTGGTAACATTTGATATGAAGGTGACCTTAATAGGGACATCATAACACATGCGTAAGCATTGAACAACATAATCATTAGGCAACACTTGAGTATTCATCAGCACGTTATGACAGTATTTGCAAGATGACAGAAGATGCCTTATGAGGTAAATTAAACTGTACTGACATAGGGGCCTTGTTTAAAGTGATTTGGGACATTTGTTGCATTTATAACACTATTGTGCAGTATTATTCCCAAATAATACAACTTTTAAGGCCTAGTTAATAACACAAAATGTAAATTCTATATATTTCTAGATGAATTAAAGCACAAAAGTCCAGTTTCATTTAAGGAGATCTTTGCAGCTACAGACATGAACAACTAATTCTGTTTTTCACCTCTGCAGCTGATCTCCTTAACAGAAATTGTTCATTTAAATAATAAAACATAACTGTATTTACACACACTGCTTTTACTTTTGATGATTTATATTCACACAAATAGGAAAATATGTATGAAAATGATCACCTAAGTTCAAGGGCATCAAAATCATTTATAAAAATGACATATGGCCATTTTTACATTACCTGGGAACAATCCTTTATAACAGTGTAGTAAATGGAACACATGTTTCGCTCCTTCTATCAATATCATGTCATTTACTTCATAAAACATGTTATCTTGTGATTAAGGGCATGTGATTAAGCATATCATAAATACTATTAAAAAGTATTGCTGTATAAATATGTTATTCAATGTCTATGCATGTGTTACGCATTAAGTCTATTTGTAGGTCGCCTTCAGTTAAAGTGTAAAACGGTACATTCCTACAAATTGGATACTGTATGAAATTAAGTTTCATGATGACTTAAAAGGAATGATCAGAAATCTCTAAGGTCCTATCTTCTGTTTCCTAGACCGCCCCCCTGCCCCAGTAAATGTGTCAGTCATGAACCTGAGAGCCGACTCAGCAACAGTGTACTGGGAGGTTCCAGAAGGTGATATCATCATTGGCTTCTCGATCCTGCAACAGGTAAGGACTATAACTCATCTTCAGCAGAACCTGGGGGGATGTTCATTATTTCCTTGTTTTTGTTTGCCTGGTTTTGAACAAGACACATAATATCTATTATTGCTCAAAATAATATGAATGAGAATGAATCCAGTGAAGTCAGAGAACATGAGATTTGACTCTCATGTACTTTATGTCCAAAAGTTTGTAGACACCTGCTCTTCCGATATTTCTTCTGAAATCGAGGGTATAAATAGGGAGTTTGTCCTGCTTTTGCTTCAGTAACAGCCTCTACTCTTTTGAGAAGGCTTTACACTAGATGTTAGAATATTGAGGTGAAGATTTGAATTGCATTCAGCCACAAGAGCATCAATGATGTTGGATAATTAGTGCTGGATCACAAACTCCAATCCAACTCATCCCAAAGGTATTGGATGGTGCTTCATCACTTCAGAGGACACAGTTTCACTGCTCCACAATCTTATGCTGGGGTCTTTATACCCCTCTAAGGCATAAAGCTGACCTTAAGCTCATGTGTGGCTGCTCCAGAGTTTCCCATTCCTTGTTATTGCTTTTCTGTGCAGATTATAAAAGCTGTCTGTGTGCAGTTGACAGGGATGGGGGAGTAGCTAAGCAGCGCGATACTTTTTGTAGTTAGCTACAAATTTTTGTAGCTAATAGTTGTAGCCGCTACAGTTTTATGAAATGTAGCTAATAGCTGTAGCGCCTACAAATTTTCGCGTAGCTATAGCGATCATTTTCGCTACAATTTCGCTACAAGTTTCAGGCAATCCGCGCAAAATCTGAACCACAGAACATGGTCGTTATCTGGCCTGGTGGCGATTGTGCAATCCTGACTGAGCCGCAAACAGCTCGAGCAAACGGTCACGCGCTGATCACCCCTTCCTAGTAGGGGGTCGTCAAACGAAGCATTTTATATCCGTTTTACCATCTTGGCTGTAAATAAGTCTCAGTGTGTGCTGATGTGCTAGTATAGGCTAAAAAACATAATATAAACGAACACGCAGACTTACTTTGCTCTGCTTTAAGCTTTAGCTCAGCTGTAGCCGCTCCTCTCACACATCAGTCAGGAAACTTTAAAATGCTTAAGTCCGATTTTCATTTACCAGCTTCTTGTGCGAATTGTCCCGTTCCCCCTTAAATGGTGCATGAGGCGCCAGAATGTACGTTACTGCTGCGCCATTTAAGGTGGAACGGGACAATTCGAACGAGAAGCTGACTTCACGACTTAGTGTTGGACAGTTTCTAGTTGCAGATTGAACGTATCCGGAAACCAGCTGGAGTGATTATAAATGCAAATAAGTCCATTCGTCTCCAAATGATTGATGTTCGTCTTAAATCTGGGGACAGAATACTATGCCTCATTTTTTTAGATGAAATTCGATTAGTTCTCTGTGAGCGCTGTCACTGAATTATGGCCAGTCAAAATCTGCCAAGCTCCGCGTTATTTTCTCAACCCTCCTATCACCGCTTATTGAATGTTGCTGTCCGCAATTACTTGAGTAATCAGCGCCCGTGATGTTCGTACCTAGCGTTAGGACTCCGAGCTCCTCAGAAGTTTCTCAGGGTTTTATGAGATTCAAAAAGCGTTGAAACTACACAGCGAGCAGTGAGAGGTTCTCAGCTGAACTCAGTACAGCTGTGGCTCGGCCATAGACTGAACTGCCTGCTCTGTTTCTCTCTGTACGAGACGCTACACAGCCCAGAGAACCAGAGTAACTTTGACTTCTTGAGATGTTCAGGTATGCAGCACACATGCTATAAGCTAACACATAACATCACTATGGCAAAAATGCAGCTAGCTGAGAGTTTATGAGCACAATTAACACATCAAGATTGTAAAATGAAAACCCTATATTTCATTTTTTTTTTTTGCTTGGACTGCTCGTAATGTGGCTAGCCAAATCAGCATGCTTTAGTCGAGCTCCAGTAATTGCTCAGTTTCGGCTACAGGCTCCATAGTAGGCTATATTAGAGATTAGATGTGAAATTAAAGTTATATTGTGTTACCTACTCATAGCATACTACAAGCAACATGAGAAAGCTCACTGTTAACCAGCATATTGAAGGTATAGTATCATGTAGCAAACATTAAGAAATCAGCAGGTACATTAGACTATATTTTGTCTCAATAACTATATGAGTAACTGCCTTTCCCTTTAGCTGGCCTTTGGTACAGACAGCCTTTTTATAACATCTGTTAATGTAGATACATTAAACAGAGATGCAAAAGAGACAAGCAAAGATAGAGAGAGGTAAATGAAATGAAATGATTTAGGTTTAATGTATTTTTTAGCTGAAAATAAACTTAGTTAAATGATTAATTAGTGAAATGATTAATTAAACCTAAACAGGGCAATTGAAGTCAAATAAGTTTATGGAACATTAATAGCAGTTTATGGAAGAACAGAGGGATGAAGAAGGAACAAATGAAAGAAAAAGGTGCATAACAGTTATAGATGGGTAAAAAAGGAGCAGTGATTGAATAAAAAAAAACAAAGGGAGAAACTTATTGTTGCTGTAATACTCAAATTTGGTAGTTATTTTAATCACAATCAGATGTAAGTAACATTTCTGCAAAATTGACCTCACAAAAATTCTGATCCTAGTTACGGCCCTGTTAGCAGTTCTACGTTAATTCCAGCGTTTAAGACCATTTATTGTTAAAACTGTGTTAGAATGATCAGCAGAGCTTTATTTTACTGCAAAGGATGATTGTTATTTTACTTAAAAATCTAGTTCTGCTGTGGAGCCGTAACAGGGCAGTGAAAGAGCTGCGTGTTGCTGACCACTGCCTTAGCTAAAGTGGAAGAAACATTTTCGTAATAGACTATTACTAATAGTACTCCGCAGAGCCAGGGTCACTGATAAAAATTTTGAGGCTGAAGTGTTGTTGAAGTTTAACAAAGGACTCTGAATGTCATGTCTGTACAGATCTTGCTGAAATGTTTAAATTGGAGCAGTTTTCTTTCAACAGTTGACAGTGCTTTGCACAAAATTGTTTGGTTTGTATCCAGTTATTTTTGTTGATTTTTGTTAGGAAAAACCTGGAATGATTGACTTTGCCTTTACTTAATCTACATTTTTGTTGGATATCATACTTTTGGTTGTCTAAGTTTGAATGTTGGTTACACTTAAGCTTACTTTTTGGTGATCTTTTTGTATATTTGCAGCTTTTCAATTGTATATTTCTTTCTGGCACATGATTAAATGCAGTGTCTTGTTCACAGTATCAGGCTTGTTTGGTGTGTCAGGTGGAGATTCACAAACATTCTGACAGTCACGCTTTGAAAGTAGCTAAAAAGTAGCACACTACTTTTCAAAAAGTAACTAAAAAGTAGCCACTACTTTTTCTGGAAAAGTAGCTAAATTGTAGCTGGCTACAAATTTTGGGAAAGTACTTACACAACCAAAAGGGTGATATCCAACAAAAATGTAAATTAAGTAAAGGAGAAGTCAATCATTCCAGGTTTTTCCTAACAGAAATCAACAAAAATAACCAGATACAAACCAAACAATTTTGTGCAAAGCATTGTCAGCTGTTGAAAGAAAACTGCTCCAATTTAAACATTTCAGCAAGATCTGTACAGACATGACATTCAGGGTCCTTTGTTAAACTTCAGCAACATTCAGCCTCAACATTTTTCAGTAGCTATCCCAACCCTGGCAGTTGAGTATCTGTGTCAGCAATGGGTGCAGCTTAAAGTAGCTGGATTTACTAATTGGAAGAGCTGGCTGGACACTTTTGGACATGTAGCATAAATAAATAAACATCTGAATTCATGTGCAAATTCGTACAATATATTGCCCATTACTACTTCACAGACAGGGAACAGTTCTCCATATAAGCAGATTATCAGTCATGCAGAATGTTCTAGTATTCTGAAGTACATGAAGTATAAAGAATGACACTAAAAAGTATTCTGCAGTATGTCGCTTGGCCGACATATATCTGAAACCTACATGACACTTTTTTATTATTTATTCATTTATATACATCGCTGACGGATTATGATTGACTGATTTCTGTGTTTGTGCTCTTTGGTGTTTGAAATATGGTGGAATGTTCTGGGACATAGAAATGTTTGGCATGGTCTGTAAACCTGTCACTGCTTTATTTTAAAGATTATCATAGATGCTTACATAGCCCAATGCATTGTTCAAGCACTATTCATTCTCTCTAAGTGACAGAATGCATTTCACATCCAACCAATCACAGATATAACTGTACATCATGTTATGCAACAGGCTGTCTCTAGCTCCAGTAATAGCTTTGTGAGCTGTGTTTTTGGATCAATGTATTATTCATTACTGAAGAACTTAATGAGAACCTCCATCACACTCCTCCACACCTACTGGCTGCCTCAGGGTGTAGGATGTAGACTGAAGTGTCTCGGACCCATTTAGAGAACTGTGCTGTATCCACAAATGTGAGGCATTTAGTTAAATGCAATGCTGAAGTGAAAAAGCTCCATTGTGTACATTAGGCTTTAAAGATAACTTTCTTTGGAGGCTCTAAACATGCAATTATAGTGCATTAAGCAGAAAAAAATGCTTTTAAGTGCCATTATGTGTTGCAGGCAGTAAATCTTAAAAGAATAAGTATGCAAGACCTGCTCAGTCCTAAACTCTAATAGCCGCAGTAACCTTTCCTTTTTCCAAGCATTTCTCAACAAAAGTGAAGGGGGTGGAGAATAGCTGACACCCGTGGGTACTTTAGCTTACCAGATTCAATCTCAGTAAATGTAAAACCTTCAGCCAAGCTGGCAGGAAGCCTAAAGTTTTTTCTCCTAATAGAGTGAGGTGTTCCGATCTTGGTAACGAGATAAAAAAGGTGGTTTCTACATGATTAGAACTAACAGTAAAGCAAGATAGAAAAACGCTGATTAAGGGCCTCTGCGTTTACTGCTGTTTCAGAGGCAGGATGGCCACATGCAGCGGTTTATCCGAGAGGTCAACACCACTAGCAGGGCCTGTGTGCTTTGGGACCTGGAGGAGGAGACAGACTACATAGTCCAGGTCCAGTCTATTGGCTTGTATGGAGAGAGCCAGGCCAGCAATCTTGTCCACTTCAGAACTCTCAAGAAGTCTGACCGCTTCCCTTCCAATAGCTCCAACCAAGGTACAGTACAGTCTTCCCAAAAAGGTTCAAAATAGCCACTAAGCTCAAATTCATTTTTCACGAGATGTTTCTGAGATGGTTAGCTATAAAATATTCCTCCTACATAAAGAATTCGGGGGAAGTAAAAGTTTTCACAACATAAAAAATAGTAAACGATAAAGAGAAAGTAGGACTCCTAACAACTATGCAAGATCTGTTAGATCACCAAAACTCTCACTGTGTTACTGTCCATCCTTCCACTGTGAGAAGACAACTCAACACAATGTGTCTGAAAGGATGTGTAGCTGTCAAGAAGCCCTTACTGGGAAAAGGAAATATACAAAAAAGAAGAACATTTTGTTGCTGTCCAATGAAAAACAAGTATCTCTAAAATAGTAACTTTACAGGAGAAGGCAAAACACTCTTACCTTTCAATGCATGTCAATGTAAAAAGATTTTGTTCCAAGTGATTTTAGAGCATTTCTATTGGTCCATGCAGCATGACATTTTTGCACATAAAGGACAACTGGTGTGTTGAAATGATGTAGAAAACAAAAAATTTACAAAAATGGAGATACATGGTTTTCTTTGGACAACAACAATTTGCAAATCAAATAAAGAAGCTGCTGGTGTTCTCAGAACAATAGACTGACTAGCAGTGTGTTTGAGATTACTTGGATTGTGAGAAGCAGAAAATGCAACCAACTTCTAAGACTGAATTTTGGAGGTGTGGAAAAATATCCCTGCAGATATCTTTGCAAAACTGAAAGCAAAGTCTCCTGACAAGAATGGAAGCTGTAATAAAGACAAAGAGTGGACACACTGAATACTGAAATATTTGGTATTATATTTAGCTGTTGAGTTGTTTTCTATTAAACATATGTTTTTGCTGTTTTGACTGGAACAAGTAAATGATGGATGGTCTCTGACTTTTACACAGTTATGTAAACCCCTTTTTTACATGGTCCTTTAAAGAACCATATACAACAGCCCTTCATTATGGAGCATTATTGCAAAGAACCATTTAAACATTCCAGTGGTTCAAATCATACCCATGAAGAACCCCTAATATATCTACTTTTGATGTTTTCTCCTGAGACTAATTTCTAATAATTTATATTCATGTCTGTCTTCTTCATGATTATTATTTCATGGCATACTTGTGGAATATAAACATGTTTCACATGCAAGGCAAACATAATTCAAGGAAACCAGAAGTCAAATAATACTCAAACACTGAATTTCACTGAGTAAATGCTGAAAAATGTCTGTTAGCTGGTTATTAACCTTTAGATTTTCAGCTCAGTCCTGGGAACCTACACATTTTCATTTTCCCCTGCTCTAACACAGCTGATTCTGCTTATCAGCTAATTATCAACCCCTTCAAGAGTTGAATCAAAAGCTCTGTTGATCATTACATATATTCATTCTGAAGCTGAAGTCTCTCACAGAAGTCATTTGCACTGACTTCAAAAAGGAATCAATGAAGTGAAGCGCTACAAGCTTAATTAAATAGTCTGATGAATCAGCGTGTCAAAAGTATGTTTTAAATAGTGCAAACTCTAAGCCGTGGCTACTGGGCTTCTGAAACCAAATAGAATGACCTAGTGTGTTTGTATTCTAGTGAATCACCCTTCGATCACTTTGTGTATTTCCCTGGCGACTGCTTCACTGAATCACTGAACTGAGGTTGACAGACACTGCATGCTTGTTTGGGCACAAGAATTTTATTTATGAATATAAAACAAGCCTATAAAACACTCAGCTAATCAACTATTGCCATTAATAATCGGGCACAGTATACACCATGTTTTCAGATTGAGAAGGAACCTTCCTACATTTGTAGCTCTTTCTTTCCATAAATGGTTCATTTTTGATGCAGTCATATTTGACCGCAGGTGCATGTCTGCTTGTGCCGCAGTTTCTGATCAGTTTTCCTTCACTCAGTGGAATCCATTTCATATTCACAAAGTAGCTATGCTGATGAACGCATCTCTATGTGACAGGCCGAGACAGCTGAGCACATTATCAGAAGTGTTTTCTGTGTAGGCAGTATTTTATTTAGAAAAGCAGACTTGCTGTGGTGTGTGAAAGCACAAAGAAACAGAAAAAGAAAGGTTCTTTTTATATTGTTCATTATATTTTTATAACAGTCGTAAATCAGTTAACAAAATGTGTTTTATTTCTAATGAACAAACTGCAAACCCTTCTGCTTTCTGTGCATTGTTTATATGGAACAATTTCCTTAAGACCATATACAGATTACGCGGCACAGTTGTTGAAGGCTGCATTCGGGCTGAAGGTAAAAGTGTGTCAAATCTGATTTACCATGCAAACCTGATTTTGTTGTTTGGTCGTATCTTTTTAATGTGGCCTATATCAGTCTGAACAGATCACGCTGCTGATCTGAGGAGTATTCACAAAAGAACACAGATCCATCTTATCCATTTAAGCATGGAGTACAAACAGTGGACACTAGTGCTGTAGTCAAGACTAAGTCAAGACTGAGTCATGACTGGAAATTTGTAATTAATTAATATTAATCATATTATATTTCAAAATACTGTGATGGACTGGTGACCTGTCCAGGGTGTTTCCTGCCTTCCACCCAATGCCCACTGGGATTAGCTCCAGCACCCATGACCCAGAAGGATAAGTGGCTTAGATAATGTGTGTGTGAGTGTGTGTGTGTGTGTGTGTGTGTGTGTTTCATAATTAGTAGCAAATGATGGTTGAACCAAACAACATTTGTCCCTTTTTATTATTAAATAAAAACATAATAATAATAAAAATAATAATAATAACATTCTGATCTGCCTTTAAGGGATGTTTGAATGAACATTGACGTACAAATGATACCCAGTTAAGCCGCCATGGAAAGGGTCACAAAATCCTCGACCAGCAGAAAACAGATTTTACTTGTAAAGAAAGGGCTGTTTTATTCTGCTGGAAGGTGATGCTGATGTTCAAAAATTATAGTTTTTATTATTAGTTTCCAATTAACTCAGACAGAGGCAAAGCACTCAACTGGTCCACCTTACCCTGAGACAGAGAGCACAAGTAAACACAGCACAAGTTAAGTAAAGACAGTACAACTAAACACATGCGATCACACGTTTTTTTTTCACCTGATAAACTTTTGAAATATATGAGAAGTGTGTAAAAAAGTGTGTTTATTCACATGTAAAATTCATGTGTTTTGCAAATTGCAGAAGGTTTCATTTAAAAATAAATGATGGATAATCTTACTAACTTGGCAAATTTTAGAAACAAAAAAATAAATAAATAAACATGCTGCTGAATGAAGAGATGTTTGGGAGCTAAAAGGGCCAACAAATCTGACTGCCTGAAAAGAGAACACATTCTCCATTAATCTGAAGAACGATTTCACCATGCAAAAAACATTTAAGCATTAATGGTTCTATATAGAATTCATGGTTCTAAATAGTACCATTGATTTTATTAAACAACCCTTGAAGAACCATCTTTTTATGTGTGTAGTAGACACTAAAATAGCCATGTTCTACTAAGTTTACTAAAAAGAGTAAAAAAATAGTGAATTTCTCTGGTTATTTTAATAATGGAAGGCCCACCAGAGAAAATAAGGTTTTACCTGCCATAATTGAAGGAAACCAAGTGGGTAAGATTGACGTCCCTTTCCACATCACTCAGCGCAGTGCTAGCCCACATGAGCATCTCTTAGCTGACAGATTTGGCAGTTAGCACTCTCCTCCAAGCACACTGAGCTGCCCAGTTTTGTTGCAATAGCTGGCTTAATGTGTCTCGGAAGAAGCACATTAAAATATCCTGAGAACAAAAGCAGCTAGGTAGACAAGTTGCAACTAAGCCAAAGAATAACAAAACTACTAATGTTTGCTGCAGCTCAGCCCCAACACTCAGTAAGCATTAATTTGGGAAATAAGTTAAAAATGAAAGGAATTCATATCCAAGTAAAAATGCTTAGGCAGACATATAGACCTCACAAGATAGAGATCAACCATTTAATCTTGTTTTAATGCTTGCTGACTCAGGGCAGTATTTAATAAAGAAGCACACAGAAATCAAATTCCTCTGAGAATCAGGGCTCTGAGTGTCAGTGCGCTTCAATTAAATTCCATTTCCAGAGCTCTTTTATAGACAGGGTTGCTCTTCACTCTCTTTCACTCTCTAGGTGTTAAATGCTTTCAGAGCACTTTACAGGCAGCTCTCAGTAGAGCTATAAGCCTTTGCATAAGGCCATGTTTTAATTCAGCTGGATATAGTTCAACAAGGACAAAAGGTCTGGGCCTCATTTCATACTTAATGTTAAAAAGTTTTTCATATTAATTTTTAAAGTTTAATATGGTCAAATGCGATGTCATTTGGTGCTTTTTTAACTTTCTAGACTGTGTTTTGAAAAAACATCCCATGAACATCCCAGGATTCTGACAATATTAATTTTAAGTGCCACTGCAGACCGTGTTAAACTATAAATGTACATATATTGCATTGCCTTACATTTTTTGCAGGCTAGAATGTCAAGGCTTTGATGCACCAAATCTCAGATAGAAGCATAATATATTAAGGCCTTAACAGAGACACGATTGTAAGATGGTAAGACAATTCTTCCTAACTGTTGAGATTTAATAAGTCTTTTCTAGCTTTGTTCACACAGGAGGGCAAATCGGATTTGTTTCTTAAACCTGATTTTTAGATTGAGTGACCACATCCTATTTGTATGGTCAGACTGTGGTCATAGTTAGTCACCTATCTACACTGGTTGTAATAATGCAGGTATGGATATGCTGACTAGGGCAGGACAGGCAAAAATATGATTTTCTTGTTGTACTTTCTGACATAAAGAAGCGCTGCACACCAAATGGCTAAAATAAATAAATATATAAAGTAAGGAAGTAAAAACCCACAGGGAATCCGATTTGACTGGTCAAACTGCGTTGTGTGTCAAGAGTTCCAAACCAGAGTTTTATTTGTTGTGTCCACACTTTGCTTTTATCACAGCTTCCATTGTTTTCATGAGATTT